AAGGAAAGACCGCAGATTGCCATATGTTGCTTAGAATGATTAGGTAAATTAAAATGTCTAGCGACTGGTTTCGATGTGTCCTTGTCATTCCTTTCCACGTCTCGAAGGTGTTCTCGGAATCGGTCACCTAGTCTTCTGCCTGTTTCGCCGATGTATATCTTTTTGCAATAAGTGCAAGTTATGCAATAGATTACATTGGCGGAGGTGCACGTGAAGTGATCGGTGATCTTAATGGATCGTTTAGGTCCCGATATTTTATCAGTGTTGTGAATGAAAGGACACGTTTTGCATCGTGCACGAGCGCATTTAAAAGTGCCTGGTTGGTCATTAGTCTGAAAAGAACTTCTGACCAAAAAATTGCCTATGTTTTTGTCGCGTTTGAATGAAATGAGCGGAGGCTGCGAAAAGATAGTGCTTGTCTCTGGATCGTTTTGAAGTAATTTAAAGTTTTTAAGAATGATGGATTTAACTGAGTGGTTGTGAGGGTGAAACGTGAGAGTGAATGGAATGCGGTCGGAATCTTCCTTATGCGACGTTTGTAGTGCTGAATGTCGATCAATAAGTTGAGCGCGGTGGTAACCCGCTTGAACGACGGAAACAGGGTAACCACGTTTATCGAAGAACTGGCACATTGACTCTGATTTGTGGTGGAAATCAGAGTCATCACTACATAAACGACGAATTCTTAGAAACTGAGAAAAAGGAATGGAATTCTTAATGTGAGATGGATGCGAAGACGAATATAACAAGTAATTATGCGAGTCTGTAGGTTTGTAATACACACTAGTGCATAAACCGTTACCTTCAATTGAAACTTGAATTTGAAACTTCAATTGAAACATCAATACATAGCCTGCTATGGGTTGCCAATTTAAAAGATAATTGTGTTGGGCTTATGCGTACTTAATCTAATGTAAGAGCCGTGACTTCATCCCAACTTTTTGCCGTCTCTCAAATGGGCTTTAATAACCTATTACTAGTGCAAACCCCTCTTTTGACAACTTTGAAAGTGCTTGATTCAACGGCCCTGCCGACAAAAAAAAAATCTCTTCACCAGCAAGTTTCAATTATTTTCAAAGTCAGAAGCATACAATGTTAGGGGTTGTATGCTTCTGGAAAAATGTTTAGTCGTATAAAATTGGCAGATACGTCACATCTCCCTTATTTGTTTTTCTGAATCATCCTGGCGGGCTGCAATCTCCATGCTCCTTTCTAACTTACTTTAGAAAGGAGGAAAGGAGGAAAAAGTATATAGAGTTTGTTACACCTTTTGCCGAGAAGAGTAGTTGTGGTTATTTTGTTGATTATATAGTGTGATAATTGTTTTTATTACTGCTATGTTTGGTCGACACTGAGAATTCTTTAAAGTTGACCAAGCACAGTCCGCGCCATAGGTTTGACTTTGTCTTATACGCCATACTCGCAAAATATCGCCCTAAGAAGTTTTAATTTATTGGGTTTTCCCCGTCAAGATAGCGTAGTTTGGCACGCACCCACTATTCAGTGTTAGAAAATCTGGAACTCGGAATCGAATGGTTGTAGAATCTATACATCTCGAGCTCTCAGCTTTTTAACTTCCATGATTCTGGAAAGAACTGGAGAAAATTTATGGGAAAAGAAGCAAAGTTTTTGTTTTAGAATATGAACAAATAAAAACATGCAAAATAGCTCGATTATCAAGTTAATCTCTACCCTAGCCTGCTTGAAGAGTATAGGTCTATAGTCACGCCTTTTAACTAGGTTGACTTGCATCTTTGTCAAGCCATTTTTAGGCCGAGTCTTAACGAGTCTTGTCTTACCCTCTACGGTTTGCTGATATCTATTGGAAAATAACACAAGTTATAGAAGAGAAGAAGGAGGTCAAACTTAACAAAGAAGAATGGGACTTGAATGCAAGAACAAGATAAAACTAAGATTAGAACGGGATTAAAATGGAATCTATAAGAAGTGGAATAAGCCCTAGTCACTTATAAGGAAAACTCAGGCAATCTCTGTCCAAAGTCACTTTTACTTTGAGATGGAAACAGGATACTTTTCAATTTTTGTCCTAATGTTCGGTTTTTTGTCGTGGGATGTTAGGGGGTAGCTAGGATTTTTAGAGAGGTGGAGAGGGAGGGTAGGGCTTACAGGGAATTCCCATTCACCTTATGTAAATAGGCTGATATGGCCGCTACACCTTGTGCATATGTAGGCTTGTATTAATGTAGTGAGAGGCAGAGAAAAATGGAGTTTAATGCCAATTGTTCCCTTTTTTTTATTTCGATTTTTTATACACGCTTGAAGTGTAGTATTTGTACAGGTATGTTATTGACTTAAAAAAAGATTATATAACACTGGACTTGTGGTCTTTGAGTTGAAAAACATCAAAATTCTCCATTAAAACGTAGCGCTAGTGCGTGCGCCATGGAACCACCTTATATGATCAAATTAGTCAGCTGTGATCTTTTAGAACTTTATATAATTATTAAGTATGTGTCAGATTATCAGAGATTGCATTTAAGGAATAGAGGCTTAAAGGAACTTATGGGATGGTTTAGGGAGCAATTTTTTTTGTAATCATTTTTTTGGGATGAGCGCAGGAGACAGTCAGATGCTGGCAAAATTCTGACTTTCATCTCATGATCTTAAATTGATGTTAGTGCCACTCATTTGAGGAACTCTCTTGTTTTATTTATTTGCCATCTATTTGAATACAATACAGTCTTACAATACAGGCATTGGATTCAGCTGAGAGGATTAACAGCTTTGAATGAAAACTCTCTCTTTTTATAAGGAGGAGAAAAATTCCATTTTAAAAAACGCAATTTTGTAAGTGCCTGAATTCGTAAAATATTGTTAAACCATGGTCTGAAAAGAGAAAATATGCAGAAAATTATTCCTGTTTTTCTTAAACACGGCTGATATGAACAGACAGCAACGACTAGGCTTTTAGACTGTTGTTCAAGTTCTCATAATTATAGCTTAACTTAAGTAGTAATTTGCGGGTGTGCGCAATAAATTCAACTTATTGCTCTATCCGACAGCCAAGCAACCTGTAAGTTTCTAATCAGAGCGAGGTTATGCTAGTTTTAAGACTGCAAAACCGTGTAACATCCATCATACGAGAGCAATGGTACATCTAATTTTAATCAATCTGTTTCACTTTAAACTTACCCTAAAAGTGTAGTGACTAGGTTTGAAGTGATACAGATTTGCAGTACACAATCCATTTCATTTAAAAACACTGCAAGAGGTTTTCTTGATCTCGTTCAATATGTTATGAAGACTAAAAAAGGATCGGAATCTCATCCTGCCAAAACCTGCCAACCCCATGTGCAAGGTACGTACGGGAAAAAAGCTAGAAGTAAGGACTGCATTCTGGTTTAAGACCAAAAATGTGTAATTTATATATTACTTTCCAATACGCTTCCTTTACCTCTGATTTGTCAATTTCTGTTCTGTTACACACCTTTGTGCATATGTCTGATATGCTACGAAAGTCTTTAAAAAGACGTTCACATCGCCACAGATTTCGTTTCAGAAGATACTCTTCTAAGGTTTGTTCAGAAGTGCACTCTTCTAAGGTTTGTTCATTTGGTAGAAGCTCGTTAACAGCACAATACTCTGCACATGCCCCTAGATATGTTGAATGTCCCTCTTCCCAACAATCACCAATAAAGAAAGTTTGACAATTTTTACAAAGATCTATTTTGGAATCATATCCTTTGTCCTTAGCTTGCCGTAGAAATGCTCGAAATTCCCATTTAGCATCTTCTCTTAATTTCATGTGATCGAAATGTATAATTTTCTCTCGGAGAGGTTTTTTGAGGCGAATGATTCTGTTATACAAACAAATAGGCCTTAGGTAATGACTAACTGCCATTGTACACCCTATTGCATACTTTTCTCCGCGCGAAACCTTTGCTAAAACTGTGGGCTTGAAGGTGTTTTTTTTTCCAAGTTTGTTTAGCCAGAAGTTTGCGAGTTGAAAAACACCATCGGCATGAGCTCTACTTCCTTTGACATTACCTGGGCTTTTCACGAGTGTGTAAATACTGAACTGAAAGAGAGAAAAATACAAGCAATTTTTGATTGAGAAACGCTATGTCACGATATCTATCTGAAAGCATGGTCGAGACCACTTGCTTTCACTCGGACTATCTGTGAACCAGGCCAACCGCCTATGTGTCATAACATGTGTCATAATATTAATCATACACCTTCCTAATGATCGAGAAACATTGGGACTCTTGGGAGCAGACTTTATTGTTGCTTATTGGTGCGAAACGTGGTCTGATTTGGGTTGCGCTGTTTTTGACTATCAAAGGACTGCGACATTTCCTCGCAGGTGGAGTTTTGGATGCAATTAGATTTTCTTGTAGTGCTAAATTGCTAACTAGCTAAACATAAGCCCTCTTAACAGATCCACAAAACCCTAACGCTTAGTTGATATTTCCTGCCTGATTTAAGATTGTTTAGAGTGCGGTTTGGATGGGTCAGGGTCGGTTAAACTTCGTTTAATGATAAGCCCCAAATGGGGAGTTTAAGAAAACCGACGGAAGGCAACAGCAACGGGAGCGTCGCTGAACAAAATTATTTTATGAGTCGAACAATGGCTGTGCACGTGTGTTATAAATCTGATTTGATCAAGACTCTCTAAATCGATATATCCGGGATATTAATTAACCGTTTCAAAAGTTCTTGACCTTTCAATCTAGCCGGATTAAATTTCCCTTAAGCGCCTGCAGCATTCAAAATTTTTGATATCTTAGTATCATTTATGTAACTTTATAGCCACTTTTAACTCACCATCTCCAATAGAATGCTCCCGGGGTCGACCAGAAAATTTATATTGTCCCCGTTTGATTTCAGCTTCAGGACAGCCTCTAAAGCAGCGAGGTTTTTATAAGGATCCTTGTCCGTGTCTGTGACCGTGTCCGTATCCGTGTGCATCTCGATATCCGTCTCCGTCTCCGTCTCCGTCTCCGTCTCCGTCTCCGTCTCCGTCTCCGTCTCCTTCTCCCTCTTATTCTCCATCTTCGTCTCTGCCGGCTCTTCTCTTCCGCAGTGAAAGTACAGGTGAATTTTTAAGCTAAGGAGGATTTCTTTAAAAGACTTGTCTAGCTCGGCTTTTGATTCCTCTTGCTCTATGTTGCACATGTAGAGTTCTCTAAACGGCTTTAAAACTTTTTGACACATTTCACTGATATCCTTCCCCATTTTCCTATTTAACGTCGCGATTCCTTTAAATAACTCTTTCATGTACTGAACCGGATAAGTTTCTTGACGACTTCTCCGATTAGCCATTTTTTTTTTCGAGAAAACTTTAAACGGTTTTCTTCGGTGCGCAAACGGATGGTATTTCAACACCAAAGTAACAGCTTGAAATATGTTTGTAGCGTAAGACGACTACATCAGGCAGATGTTGACCCCCTACCAGTTCCAGGAACGTTGGGAGATTTTCAACTTTGCAAAAAAATGAAAAATTGTCAGCTTACAGAAGGTGTTTTTTTTTAATTGGAGAAAGAAATTTGAAGCTACTGTGTGGCACCGGAGACCGTAGGTTATAATAGATCGTCCTTTGCTGCAGCAGAAGCCCCCTTTTTTTTTTTTTTAATTTGACGTAAAGCATTGATCTATATATTGTTTTCCTATAGTTAAACTAATAAACAGGTGTAAACAAAAGATTTCCCAATCAGTCCGCGAAAAACAAAGACAGGTTTAATAAGCAACATTCAAAGTATCCAGCCTTGTGACAAATTAAGAAACTTCTCAAGTTGTTGTCAAAGTTTTCGAAAAATGTCCACCACAGAAAGCGTAAAACTCAACATTTGGAATCCAACCAAAAGATCCTGTATAAAGAAGCCAACCTCACCTGGGATTGCCATTGATCCTTATAATGCTCATAAAGGAAAAGTATGTCAGTTTGGTTTCTTTGCGGTTTTAACAATTTCCAAGATTAACAGTCAAATGCTAAGAATATATGAGAATCATATATTTGAACTGCGGTTACCGAAACGCAAGTAAGAACGATCTTCGCAGTGAGCAGCACTATTAAAGCAATAGTAAAATTAAGACCTGAAAAAAATTCAGGACTGTACGGGATTTGAACCTGTATAATACATACCTATCAAGCAAAGCTTTCATTGTAGGTAGTTTAGAATATTAAGGGTGGTGAACTTATACAGGGTAGAGGCTGATAGTTTCGAAAGAAACTGTTTGGGGCTGCGTCGGTGGGAGTAACGAAATAATTTGGATATATCAACAAAGTTGAAATGGTAAATTGGCCACCGTAATGATTACAAAAGCTGACGTTTCGAGCGTTAGCCCTTCGCTCCGACGAAGGGCTAACGCTCGAAACGTCAGCTTTTGTAATCATTACGGTGGCCAATTTACCATTTCAACTTTGTTGATATATCCAAATTATACAGGGTAGTGTAACTGACATGAAAGCTTTTTGCAGCAACTTTAAAACAAAATTTAAACATGTCTACTTTGTATGTAAAACCTAGAATTTTAGCGATGTATTTCCGATTGCGCAAGAAAATGAAGTCTTGGTTGCTACGTCTTTTACAATTTGCCTCTAATTCCCTTGATTGGGGATGTTTATCAGATACGTCATTCTTCTTACAAGCATTTCACCAACTTGCAGAAGAGAAAGAATGGCAACAAAACTGGAAAAGATCTAGAGTGAGGAGGAACTGAAAGGGCTTGCAAAATCATTAAACAGAATCCTTCATGCTCACCGTCGAAATTTCGACGTAAGGCAAGGTTTACCCTGCCAAGTAATTGTTTAACTCAGTGCTAAGAATAATGAATATTTCATGATGTATCATCAGTACCAAGGGAACGAGTACAAACATTTTGGCAAACTATTTTAATACTTGCTTTGAAACTTTTAAAACAGTGCGTCTGTCATGGACGTGCAAAGTGATAATACGTTGTCAACTACTCTAAATGACAGTCCCAAAAAAGCTGATGTTGCTTACGATTTCTTTAACAAGAAAACCATTGGTATACTAGGCTTTTTTTTTCAATTCTAATTTCAAGAGAAGATGACATTGATGAAATAAATTCAATTATTAAAAACTGGATCATTGGATAATGCCATTGAAGACTTTTTATTGCCTTAGCCATTATGGTATATGAGCCAATATACCATAATCTTCAAATATGGTAAGCATACACGTCAGCTTAAAATTAAAAGAGAGCTATAAAATTTAAGATTTGGTAAGATTTGTCTAATATCTTGGAGGCGTTTTTAATAAAACAATTATTCCACTCGCGCTTGTTGGATATGAGATGATTAAAGCCAACTCGGCGCTACGCGCCTCGTTGGCTATCTATCATCTCATATCCAAAGCGCGCTCGTGGAATAATTGTTAAATAGCTTAAATGTTTCTTTTCATCATGTTTCTCAGATATTTCATTCTTTTACCAATTTTCAGAGTAGAAAGAATGGTAACAAAAGCAGAAAAGGTCTAGAGGAAGGAGGAAATGAAAAGGCTTGCAAAATCAGTAAACAGAATCATTCATGTTCACCGCCGAAGTTTCGACGTTACACCGAGGTAAAAGTTAGGAACAATAATTGGCCTGCAGATGTAAAATAGCAATATATATCTATATGCCCCAAATTTCCACCTGCAGGCGAGTGAGAGGATCGGATAAGCGATTCTTTTTGTTTGCCATAGAAAATATGGAAACATGTGTCCCTATGCATTTCTTGTTCATCCATCTATTGTACGAAATAAGTCTTAATTTATCTTATGCACTAATAAAAATGCGCTAGCTAAGAAAACAATACAAATGTTAATCGAGGTTTTATGTTCGGTGAGGGAAAATCTGTCAATTGTAACTGAAGACAAAGTGAATCAGCCGAAATTTTCACTATCAAAGAGTATAGTTATATAACGCCCATTACATTTTTTCTTTTTGCAAACAAAACTAGATCATTTACTTTGAAAGCGGGCATTTCTGACGGCTCAGGTTTCCTCGGCTGAAAAATAGGCTTGTGCTCTCGAAATTATGAAGTTAATCAACAGAAAGCTTCTTCCTATGGGGCAGTTTCTCCATAACTACGAAATGCAGGATTGCGAATCTTTGACCCCTCCCAATAAATTCTTTCACAGGCTTGATGTTTTTCAGTTGCGAGGAAGGGTCAATTGCAATGTTTACTTTTCCGTGTTCTCCGTTACGACTTTATGGACAAGCAAACATGTCCCTACTTCTGTAACAATAGCTGAACGCTCTCTTATCTTGAATCAAATTTCACACGAGCGCTTTCATCGTGGGAGACGTGGCATTTGAAAACTAGGAGTACCAGTTCAATACTCAATACTCAAAGTATGATTGCAGGAAAACTTTTAAAATCCAGTTCCTCAGCATTAACCCTCGTAATTCACTCCAATAATACTAGGATGAACTGAAGAGCATTTATGGAACAAGGGAACAGAGAAAAATCGAAGTCACATTTGATTTTGAGGTGGGTGTTAAAAGTTGAACTGCCTCTGTATCATTAGTTCATTTACCAAGACAGCCGCTCGCTGTGGAGGGAAAAGCCCTCCTGATTCGCCGATTTGATACTTTGAGAAATAACAGTTTCCGTAGTTTTCAGCACGGAATTTTATTTTGGGGTCTGTCATTCCCCTAAACTCAAGATAAGCTGCCATTTTCTCTAACTCGATTTGGTAAATTGGTTGTTAGTTCGCATTGACTTACTTTTGGCCTACAAAATTTCAAATCTTTCCTAAATTTTATATGCCTTGCCTGAACAATTTAGCTCTTTCCTTAGACTTTGTCAATTTCCACCATTCTTGGTCCTCTATGCATGGCTCTTCCAGAAAAAAGATTGTTTAATGTTCCATTTTTGTCACTCCCGACTCCCTTGGGAGGTTTTGCCAGTCACATGACCTTTAGCTTGAATCGCCATGTGCCCGAGTTAGCGAATGTTTTGTATTGGAGAGAGTTTTAGAAAAGGACTTATTGTGTCTTTCGTTGGCTTAAGCGAACGGTTCGGTAAGTTAATATATATAATTTTTGTTGTTCAGGCAGGTATTTGGAGTTTAATGCCTTCTTTTGTTTGTAATTTTCAGAAAACCTTGCACTTGCACTTGAACTTGCACTTTCACTTTCACTGGAGCGCTGCACTAGTATCGCAGAGGTCAGTGGTTCTAATCCCGTACAGGCCTGATTTTTTCACGTCTCATTTTCGCTATTGCTTAAATAGCGCTATCTACTGCGAGGATCGTACATCATATGTACTTTCACTTTCATTGACCGAGGCCGTGCGGCCAATGTATGAGCTCGAGTTTTCGACGTTCGTTTGAATTCATAATTAAACACAGTGCCACGGTACTGACAATTCTATCTAATGGCAAACCTCCAAAAACTCCCACTGAATGTCACAAAATTTACTTTGCCACGACCTAACACTTCTAAAAAAATGTGAATAGATAAAGATTTACCCCGACAAACCGTTTTAAAATACAAAATAAGCTCGAGGGACTCACCTTCAATCGATTTTCAAACTGAGTATCTGTGTCCAAAATTCGAGATGTATCTTTGTTTCATTCTTTCCTCAGGATTCAGAGTCAAGTGAAGACGAAATTCAAGAAACGATTGCTGGTGTGTCGAAAGCATGTTAATTATCCCATTTGGACACCAAAAGACCATTTTCTTGCCTGTTTTCAAATTCCTTCTACTGCTAACTACTTATGTGCTACATGCATGAAAGATCTCATTAATTGTATATGCGCATCACATACTGTGAATCATTTTAGCACGGGGACATACTACCTATTTTCAACCTGATGAAGCTGAAGTGTTTTACGAAACTAATTAACACAGAGCTGTTGAATTAAGTGTCATAACGAAACTCGCACAGGATTTAGAAAACTAAACAACGTCAATTCAGTAAATGAAATTGTTTTATAATTTGCATGTTTCCTTCGTAAACTCCTCATCACTTTTAAGGCTTCTTACTTAAAGTAGATTTAGAATAAAGAGCATGAAAAGTTACGCAAGTAATAATAGAGTTAAAAAAAGTTCCTATCGAAAGGTTTTATGTACTGGTGTAAATTAAGGTAGTTATCGTTTTTCCATCCGCTCCCTGAATCAATCGACAGTCACATGACACAATGATGCGCGCGCATGACCCGTTGGATTTCAGTGGCTCGAGCAACACTAAAGACATTTTTTTTACCCTCAGGTCTTTGTGCATTTTTCATTTATGCAATTAAGCAAAGAGACTTGCATTGATGTGACAAAAGTGCTAGTTCAGGAACGGTCGCCAAGAAATCGTTTTTCAGTTTAGTTGACATTTCAAAGTATTATCATTTAAATCATTCCGGTCAACAAAACTCATTTGCACGACACAGAGAACTTCTACTGACAAAATTGTGACCCAAGTTCGTTTCTCCTGGGAATAGAAACAAATTGAGAGTAGTTTAGTGTGGTCTGGACACTTATCGACAACGATTTTCGTCGAATATCGACAACGGCAAATTAGCCTACCAGATTGCGACAAAAATTAAATTGGATGAAATTTCTGGAGGTTTTGAAAGGCGGGGAATAAAATCAAGTCTTGGAATGGGAATTCGAAGCTAGGTCCATCTACAGTTTCTTGCTGTGACCGAAACGGCGCTACTAAAGGGGTTCCACGACCAAGGTCGCTTTCGTGACAGTTTGCTCAGAGAAACCTGGCACTAGTTGTCGTGGACAAATCTTAGTGCGACCACCACATTTGAGACGTTTGTCAAGTTTCTTTAGCTGAGTGGAGGGCTGTGATGTTGTGATGGTGAGTTTTAACCTCCTAACCTCTTTAAAAAGATATTTTAACTCCTCAGCTTAGAAGTTAATTGTCTAGAATCGAAATGTCTCTGTAACATTTGAAATCATGACTAAATCTTAAATTATGGCCAATGACTCAACTGGATGAGGAAGTCGGGTTTTGTAGATGACTTACAAGATACACCTATATAGATGAGATGACGGATGTTTTTCTTTTTATTGAGATTTGGTTTTGCCGATATACCAAGCCTCTCCGGGAAGCCTGTTATGGGGTTAAGGGAAATGCGCCGTTAGTTGCGTATATTGATTTGATATGATGCCTAGTGTTAATCTCCGTAATTGATGTATTTGGACTTAAATCAAAGACACTTTACAGATTGACCCGGCTTATTGTACAAGGCTATAGGTATATCTTTTATGAAATGAAAAAACTTGTTGTCTTCCTCGTGGAAGGGATACTCCAAAGATATGACCACCGTAGTTTATTATCAAGTTTTTGTGATTTTTCAAGAATACGTCTTACTTCGCGTTTAACTGCATCAGCCAATTTGACCCTTTTCCATCTTAACATCAGTATGCACATTCTCCATGCTGTTCCCCATACAGTTCCTGGGGTGCTGATATGGAGAATTGGTCTAGCAATCAAGAGCTTCTTTAGTTGGTGATCATATTCTTTCTTATCATGATCTTAATTTTTTATTCAGGGGTGACAGTGTAAGGAGAAATTAGATGCTGGTCACTCTTATAATCAGGAAACAAAGGGTTCAATGTGATTAACTGCTAAAAAGGCAACTTCAATAGGAATCGTGCCTTAACAAACATTTATTATATAGATACTGATGAAATGTTAGGATTTTTCCTTTTACTATAAAATCGCATTTTCATCGTGCGCAGTGAAGATACTAGGGACCTTAAGCAAACCACGTAAAAAAACAAAAGATCTAATTGGCAGAACAATAGCTCAAAGAGTGCTTTTCAAACCTTAGTACATTTCTTAGCCGTCCTTTCAAAACAACAACGTGAAATCCCCAAAATGTGCTCCGTCTGCGAACCGAAACAGCGACGGCAAGTTATTTTAATTTTCATTTGGAACTCAACGCTACTTTTTGTTGAGGTTAAGGTGTGGCGCCGTATGAGACCGTAAACACAGGCAGCCATTTTCAAAATTTTAATTAAAAGTAGAAAATCATTTTTTAATGCACGTCTTCTCGGCGTTGCCGTCCTGCTTAAGGTCCCTAATATTCTTATCTTTCATGCGTGGGGATATTGGTGTCGCTATGGTTACTAATATGCTGTTATAGAATTTTTCTCTTTCTCATTGGAATTTTAACTTTTTGGAACAGAAAATAGAAGAATTATTATCTTTATTTCTCCTTTATAACTTTATATCGGAGTTTCATAACATTTTTGTGACAGGTATTTTGCGATAGGTGATCACTTTAATTTCACTATTTTTCTCTTTCGAAAAGGAATTAAAAAAAGTCCAGTTTTATGCGGAAATTTTTACAGTATCTATAAGATAAACAGAACACTACATGGCCGCCTGGGGATACGCATTAGATCTTCTCGGGATAAAATTACCTCTCACTCTTTCGCTTTGCTCACTCATGAGAGATACTTACAGCACTCGAAGATAAGATTCGTATCCCCGCGCGGCCATTTAAAATCCTCTATTTCTTGGTCGAAATCCTTAAATACTGATGCAAGCTAGCCTGTTTCTTCCCTGTGACAAAAATGATATGAAATTTTACTATCCAGAGAATCATGCAGTTTTGTGTAAGGTAACTTTATTAGTTACCCTCTGGGTCAAAGTCAAACACAGAGAGAAGCCAGTTAAGGAGCCAAAACGAGCCAGTCTTCATTGTTTTCAAAATTGGACATTTGCAATGCGTGTTAATCCTCTCAATTGTAAAGTATGCATGTAGCTTGGACACACACTTTATAAAATTTTACTTTTGAACTGATCATTGCAAAACTATAATTCGTCAAAGAAAACTAGCCTTTGATTATTTCACGTAAACGTGTAAGTTTGAATTTTGGCCAGCAACAGGTTTTCTCCTGCCAAATAATTATAAATAGCTTCTTGCAAAGTAAAAAAAAGTAATAATAAAACGTGAAAGAAACAGTTATTGAAGTAATTCCTCTTTTATTCTCTTTACCTCATTTTCCATCGATACACATTATTCTCATGCACGAAAGGGTATAACATATATGCCTTATCCTACTAAGAGATCCGCAGTCAAAACTCAGACACGCCATCTTTTCGAGTTTGGGCATCCTGTGGCTCGCTTCTGATGGCAAACACATTCATTTAAACGGTTTAACACTTACAATGTCATCAAACGATGTTATGCATATGCTTGTTAGGTAAGGGTACTCAATGAGAGAACAATTTTCTCCCTTAAAATAAATTATTTTGTTATCATAAGGTGATGAAACTCTTGGTCTTGCCAATAAGCCCTAAACTGCCTCTTCGATCCGGTTTGAATCCTCTTTCCCCTCTACTTAAATTAATGAATTTGGAAATAACATGAAGGCCCTTAAAGGATTGGAACCACTTTGGAGGTGGCTAAAGACAAATCCTCGGAAATATGATAAAAATCTGCTCGTCTCCTCATGGAAACAAACACATCGATTTTTGCAACGATTATTACAGTGGAAAACTTCTCTCTTCCGGGTATAACAAAAGTTTTCCCAAACAAATAAAAAAACATACTTGGTTTATTTACAATTTGCACTACTCTGAATCAGGCAGCATTGTGTCTTGATCGTGCAGCTACGTGATGTTACTGCCCTCTGGGTCAAAATCAAACACAATGAGAAGCCTTACATTGAACAAAGATGAGCCAGAAGAGGAACAATGATGACCAAAATTACAAAACTATTCATAGCTTACTATTCATAAGCCTAAGCGGCTTATATTTGTTCCTTTTTTTTTTTTTTGAAAGTTGTAATACAAGTTAATCCGGCCCCTCCGTTCTTAATTACCTTCATAGCACGGACACGCACACCATAAACTGTAGTTTTGAATTGATCATTGCCAAATCATAATCAAAAGCGACCAGTTTAATTACTTTAATCCAACATCAGCCTTTCTTTATTTCAAGTAAACGTGTAAGTTACCTGCCCGCTACTTTTAAATGT